ATCCATTTTGAGTTTATTTTTGTGAATGGTGTGAGAAAGTGGTCTAGTTTCAACCTTCTGCATGTTGCTGTCCAGTTCTCCCAGCACCATTTGTTAAAGAGACTGTCTTTTTTCCATTGGATGTTCTTTCCTGCTTTGTCAAAGATTAGTTGGCCAAGAAACTACATTCTTTTTTTTTTTTTTAATTTTTTTTTTAACGTTTATTTATTTTGGGGACAGAGAGAGACAGAGCATGAACGGGGGAGGGGCAGAGAGAGAGGGAGACACAGAATCGGAAACAGGCTCCAGGCTCTGAGCCATCAGCCCAGAGCCCGACGCGGGGCTCGAACTCCCGGACCACGAGATTGTGACCTGGCTGAAGTCGGACGCTTAACCGACTGCGCCACCCAGGCGCCCCTAAGAAGCTACATTCTTAAAAACAAGACAAAAGACTTTGTTAATTCACCTACTACATGACCCACCCACTTAAAGTATATAATTCAGTGTTTTTTTAAATATATTAAGAGTTGTGCAATCATCATCAGAATCAACTTTAGAACATTTTCGTCACACCAAAAAGAAACCCCGTATCTATTAGCAGGCTGTTCTCATTTCTCTCCTGCTTTCCACACCTACGCAGTTACCAATCAACTTTCTGCTTCAATGGATTTTCCTATTCTGGATATTTCATATAAATGGAATTGTATAATATACTGTCTTTAGTGACTGGCTTCTTTCACTTAGCATAATGTTTTCAGGGTGCTTCCATGTTGCAAAATGTATCAATGTTTCAGTTTTTGTTTTTTTTTTTTTTTTAATTTTTTTAACGTTTATTTATTTTTGAGACAGAGAGAGACAGAGCATGAACGGGGGAGGGTCAGAGAGAGGGAGACACAGAATCCGAAGCAGGCTCCAGGCTCTGAGCTGTCAGCACAGAGCCCGACGCGGGGCTCAAACTCACAAATTGCAAGATCATGACCTGAGCTGAAGTCGGCCGCCCAACCGACTGAGCCACCCAGGCGCCCCTCAGTTTATTTTTTTATTGCCTGATAATAGTCCATCGTATGGATATACCTTATTTTGTTTGTTCATACGTTGATTAGTTTTTTCCACTTTTTTGGCCATTATGAATAATGCTGCTATGAACATTCATTTACGAGTTTTGTGTATACATATGTTTTCATTACTCTTGTATTCATACCTAGTATTAGAATGTGGGGATCATGTTTTGCATTTTGAAGAACAGCCAATCTGTTTTCCAAACTGGCTGCATCATTTTGTTTGTTTGTTTGTTTGTTTGTTTATAGTAATGTGAAATTGATTGTCAAATTGGTTTCCATACAACACCCAGTGCTCCTCCCAACAGGTGCCCTCCTCCATGCCCATCATCCACCCTTCCTTCCCTCCCACCCCCCATCAACCCTCAGTTTATTCTCAGTTTTTAAGAGCCTCTTGTGGTTTGGCTCCCTCCCTCTCTAACTGTTTTTTTTTTTTCCCCCTTCCCCTCCCCCATGGTCTTGTGTTAAGTTTCTCAGGATCCACATAAGAGTGGAAACATATGGTATCTGTCTTTCTCTGTATGACTTATTTCACTTAGCATAACACTCTCCAGTTCCATCCACGTTGCTACAAAAGGCCACATTTCATTCTTTCTCATTGCCACGTAGTATTCCATTGTGTATATAAACCACAATTTCTTTATCCATTCATCAGTTGATGGACATTTAAGCTCTTTCCATAATTTGGCTATTGTTGAAAGTGCTGCTATAAACATTGGGGTACAAGTGCCCCTATGCATCAGCACTCCTGTATCCCTGGGGTAAATTCCTAGCAGTGCTATTGCTGGGTCATAGGGTAGATGTATTTTTAATTTTTTGAGGAACCTCCACACCGTTTTCCAGAGCGGCTGCACCAGTTTGCATTCCCACCAACAGTGCAAGAGGGTTCCCGTTTCTCCACACCCTCGCCAGCATCTATAGTCTCCTGATTTGTTCATTTTGGCACTCTGGCGTGAGGTGGTATCTGAGTGTGGTTTTGGTTTGTATTTCCCTCAAAGTGGCTGCATCACTTTACATTCCCCGTACAGAATGCATGGGGGTTCTAACTTACTACATCTTCACCAACACTTGTTATTGTCTGTGTTTTTTATTATAGTCATCTCAATGCGTGTGAAGTAGTACCTCATTGTGATTTGGATGATGACTAATAATTTTGAGCATGGCTTTCAGGTGTTTTTTGGCCATTTGTATATCTTTTATCTATTCAAAGCCTTTGCCCACTTAGAAAAATCTTTATTGAGTTAGAAGAGTTTTTTTTATATATTCTAGACCCAAGTGTCTTGTCAGATATATCATTTGCAAATATCTTTTTCCATCCTGTGAATTGTCATTTTATTTTGTTGATAACTTTTGAAATTGATAATACTTTAATTTTGATGAAGTCAAACTTATCAATTTTTACTCCTTTGCTTATGCTTTTGGTGTCACATTAAAAACCCATTGCCATGGGGCGCCTGGGTGGCTCAGTCGGTTAAGCGTCCGACTTTAGCTCAGGTCACGATCTCATGGTCCGTGAGTTCGAGCCCCGCGTCGGGCTCTGGGCTGATGGCTCAGAGCCTGGAGCCTGCTTCCGATTCTGTGTCTCCCTCTCTCTCTGCCCCTCCCCCGTTCATGCTCTGTCTCTCTCTGTCTCAAAAATAAATAAACATTAAAAAAAATTATTAAAAAAAACCCATTGCCAAATCCAAAGCCATAAAGAATTATTCCTATGTTCTCTTCTAATAATTTGATAATTTTCTCTACTAAATTTTACACTATAGATCCATTTTGAGTTAATATTTGTATATGATGTGAGGTCAGAGTTTGATTTAATTCTTTTGATGCAGTCATTCTCTTGTTCTAGCACCATTTTCTAGAAAGACCATCTTTTCCCCAGTGAAAAGTCTTGCCACCATCGTCAAAAATTAATCATAATAAGGAGCTTATTTCTGGCCTCTCAGCTCTATTCTGTTGATCTACATACCTATTTTTATGCTAGGATCACTGTTGGTTACTGCTGCTTGATAGGTTTTGAAATCAGAAAGTATGATTCCTTCAGCTTTGTTCTTCAAAATTATTTTGAGCATTCAACTTTCCATGGAATTCCATATGAATTTTAGGATCAACTTGTCAATTTCTACAAAGAAGCCTAACTGGATTTTTTTTTTAAAGAGAGAGAGAAAGAGCACGTGACTGGGGAAGTGGCGTGGAGGAGAGATAGAGAGACTTAAGCAGGCTCCACACTCAGCATGGAGCCTGATGCAGGCCCCACATCCCTGGGATAGTGACCTGAGCTAAAATCAAGAGTTGGATACTCAAACGACAGAGCCACCCAGGCTGAAGCCAGTTAGGATTCTGATAGGGGTTGCAATGAACCTGTAAAAATCACTTTGGGGAGTAATATCATCTCAACAATGTTAGCCTTCCAGTCCATGAATACGGGATGTCTTCCCATTTATTTGTTTTCCTAAATTTATTAAACAAATTTTTTTTGTAGTTTTTAGTCAACAAGTTTTGTACTTCTTTTATTAAATTTATTTTCAGTTTTAAATTTATTACCGATTCTATGGTAGTATTTTCTTAATTTCATTTTCAGATTGGTTATTGCCAGTATACAGGCATACAATTAATTCTCTGTATTGATCTTGTAGTCAGCCACATTACTGAACTTGTTTGTTAATGACAATCTTATAGAATTTTTGATAGAACATACTAAAGTTATTCTAATAACTTTCCAAATTTCATATGGAAGGAGTTAGCTAAGGACTAAGGGAACTGCCTAAAACTGCCTTCCAAAAACCCTCCAAAACAAAATCACAAGAAGAAAAATAAAATTACATTAAAACTATGTCCCCAGCATACCCAGAAAAATTTAATACTTTTTGAATATTAAGTACTAAAATCTTTGCAATTCTTATAAATCAATGTAACAAAATAGAAATCCTAGGGGTGGAAATACATATATTTTTGTAAAAGTATAAAGGCAATTCAGTGGGGGAAAGGCTATTTTTTTTCAATAAATGATCCAGGTATCCCTATAGAAGAAAAGATAAACATTCAGTCTTTACCTCTCAATAAAAATAAAAATTAACTCAGTGATTTACAGGCCTAAACACTGAGATTAGAACTATAAAATGTCTAGACAAAGACATTAGAAAGTCTTTGCTACTTTAGTGTAGGAAAAGGTTTCTTAAGACACATAAAACAAGAATTTTGTAAATTTAAAAATTAGACTTCATCAAAATTGACTGTTCTCTTCAAATAAAGCCATTAAGGAAATAAAAAAAAAATCAAGCCAAACATTAAGGAAAATATCCACAATTAATTTTCAACAAAAGAAGTTTCTCCAGAATGTATCGGGAACTCTCCCAAATACAAAATAAGAAATCAAGTAACCAAATTAAAAATAGGCAAATATTTTGAACATTTGCTTCAAAAAAGAAGATATGCAAATGGTCAATAAGCATATATAAAGATGCTCAATGTCATTAGCCAACCAGGAAATGAAAATTTAAACAACTATGAGTGGCACCTGGGTGGTTCTGTAGGTTAAGTGTCTGACTTTGGCTCAGGTCATGATCTCCAGCTTGTGAGTTCGAGCCCCCCCCTCCCCCCGCACGTCAGGCTCTTGTGCTGACAGCTGGGAGCCTGGAGCTTGCTTCTGATTCTGTGTCTCTGTCTCTCTCTGCCCCTCCCCTGCTCACACTCTGTCTCTCTCTCTCAAAAATAAATAAACATTAAAAAAAATTAAACAAACAACTATGAGAGGATGATGACATTACACACCCGCTAAAATGGCTAACGTCAAAATAACCAACAATACTATTTGTGAATGTAAAGTAATAACTCAGAAACTTTAAGTATTTATCAAAGAGAAAAAAAAAACAACAACAACATCTCTACAGAAAGACTCCTACACAAAGATTCATAGCAGATTCACTCCTAGTAGCCAAAAGTCTGGCAACAGTCCCAATGTCCCATCAACACTTAAACGAATAGATAAAATGTGGTGGATCCTTACAATGGAATACTACTCATGAAGTAAAAGAACTAACTACTGACACATGCAACAACATAATTGAATATCTAGAACATTATATTGAGTGCAGTATGATAGACATACAAAAGTACTATTTGATTTTATCTATGTGAAGTGGGTGAAGAAACAAATTGAATCTATAGTAACAGAGAAAAGGGGCTTGGGGTTGGGCAAAGAGGCTGAGTTGCCTGGGAAGTGACACAGAAGAAATTTGGGGGGATGATAGAGATGTTCTAGAGCTTGATTATGGTGATGGTTATGTAGACGCATATGCTTGTCAGAAGTCATAATTTTACCTCAAATTGGTGTGTTTTAATGTAAATTACACCTCATAAATTGATTTAAGCATTTATTACGTTCTTCATCTCAAGTTGGAAGTTTCCAAATAATGACAGTTAAGTTTATCAGTACTACCAATGACAGATTTTCAGCACAGTGAAATCTAGGAATTCCAAGGTAGATGAACAATAATACTATATCTGAGAGGAAGAGGATATTCACAGATATTTTAGGTCAGTGGAATACTTGGGCTCCATAGTGCCACTGTAGAGTGACATTTCCTATGTTAAGCGACCTCTAAAGCAAATTTAATGAGACTAGATGTCTTTCTTTTAATTTCATAATTAACTCATAATTAAAATGTGACTTAATAATCATAATTATACAAAGGATGTTTTTCCACGTATTATTTGTCATATTTCATATTTCATTCTTATTTTGTAACAGGTCCAAAAGCACCTCCAAATATTACATGCAAGCCTATAAGCTCAACAGAAGGAAGGATCACCTGGGAAAGCCCTGAAGATTATTTTGATAATTATGTTCTTTGTTCGCTGCATGCTTCAGGTAATTTGTGTAAGATTTAATTCCATGTCAGGAAAGATGATGAATCAAGAAGTGGGAAGCGCTAGCAATGTGGATTGAACTAGTGAGCAACAACAGAAATACGATGCCTTGTTATTTGGTACAATCTTTACACTCTAAATTCAATCTTTATTCTCTAAAGCCTGGAGAAAGAAACCCTCAGGAAGATAATCCTCATTATTGTCCTCCAAATATTATATGAGTTGCACAGTTTGAACTCCTTATTCAGGCCCACAAAGAAGCAAAAAAATGCCTAATCCCTCAGAGTCAGCTCAAAATGATTTAATGTAGACAGCAAGTTAAATATGTGGCAATCTTGAGTTTTAATGACTTAAATGTTTCCTTTTTTTTTTTTTTCTTGAGGAGAAAACTGCAAAGCTCTGGGTAAAGAGGAGACCGAACATAATTTGCAAAATTTGAAACCTTATACAAAGTACAGTGTGTCATTAAAGGCTTCCACCATGGGAAAAGTACAACGTGATGGACCTGCTGTGACATGTGAATTTGAAACACTTGCAGATAGTAAGTTATAAGCCTTAATACTTCTTTCTGTGAATGGCAAGAAACAAGGTATGAACTTTTTTTTCTTTTTCCATTCTTTTTTTTTTTAATGTTATTTATTTTTGAGAGAGACAGAGACAGAATGTGAGTGGGTTAGTGGGTTAGGGGCAGAGAGAGAGGGAGACACAGAGTCCGAAGCAGGCTCCAGGCTCTGAGCTGTCAGCACAGAGCCCCATGCGGGGCTCGAACTCACAAGCTGCGAGATTATGACCTGAGCCGAAGTCAGACGTTCAACCAACTGAGCCACCCAGGCACCCCAGTATGAACTTTTTAGTATACAATCCGTCTTTCTTTATGCTTCATTGGGGAAACACATTGACCTGGCACATTTATTAACATCTAGGGTTTATAATAATTTAAAATACAATAATGTTCTAAACTGTTATCCTGGGTTCTCTGTATTCTTCATAGACCATCACAGATTTGTAAGAATGAAGCTTGAGGCCATATTAACTGGAACAATTTTAAGATTTCAGACAATTTAAGTACCTAACCAACATAGATAAAAATGCATTGTCTATTGTTTTCTTTATTATCTAGAACTAGTAACTGCCAATGAGACACCTAATAACATCTCACCCACAAAGCATTCACTTGCTGACCTCTACTTACCCGCTTACCTTATAAAATACAGTAACTTATTGGCATTGTCTTCTCTTTGTTACAGCGAACTACTTGTTTTATTTTATGGCACATTTTTCCATTTGAAGTTTCCTTTCAAAGACATTTTCCTGTTGCTACCTGTATGATGTCTCCATAGTTTCCAGGCCTAAAGCTAGATCTATCTCCGTGGTGAATGTTAACTCCATTAAGTCAGGAAAGAAGAAACACCCCTGTGTAAGGCAGTATCTGTAGCTCCAGAGACCTTAGCTGGCACCAAGTTCATGAAGAAAAATTGTCTTATTCAGGGATGGATGTAGACTGCTCTTCATGAAATTTAATGTAATTTAGATTCCGGTTTTAAAAGTCCAGATCCTTGAGCTTTATGCTTTTGCTATTTTCCTAAATTTCTGTGAAGTCATAGCAAACAAAGATAATTTGTGTCTCCTCCTAAAGAATGCAGCCAGGTAGGTAGTTACTAGGATAATGTAAGCACCTCAAGAGCGGAGGAGCTGGGGGCGCCTGGCTGGCTCAGACAGTAGAGCATACAACTCTTGATCTCAGGGTTACCAGTTCAAGCCTCATGTTGGATGTAGAGATTATTTAAAAATAAAATCTTAAAAAAAAAAAAAAAGAACCGAAGAGCTCTACTGTATGTAGGCCTTCAGAATCCCTCTATCATCCACTCTTCTCCCCCTGCACCTTTCTTCCCCTCTTCTCTACCCCCTCTTTCCTTCTATTTTCTAATCGTGTATACTCTCCTTAGGAGATGGCACGAAGTCCCATGACTTCAAGTATAACACATATGCTAATATTCATTGAAAGACTGGGGGGTTTATTTTTAGATGTTTTGGTACAGTTTCTTGATGCATGTACTATTATAGCTTCTTCATCCCGAATCTCCAAATTATGCTGAAAATAATTTATATTGGGGGTGCCTGGGTGGCTCAGTTCGTTGGGCGACCGACTTCAGTTCAGGTCATGATCTCCCGGTTTATGAGTTTGAGACCCACGTTATTCTCTGTGCTGACAGCTCAGAGCCTGGACCCTGCTTCAGATTCTGTGTCTCCCTCTCTCTCTGCCCACCCCTACTCATGCTCTGTTTCTGTCTCTCAAAAATGAATAAACATTAAAAATTTTTTAAAATAATAATTTATAATGTACACAAATATTGCCAACTGATTTAAATATGCATGTACAAAGTGATTAAAGTAACAAATATTCCTTCGTTTTGATAGAGCCAACCAACGTCAGGCACTTACTTGCTTCTCGGATATCAGATAATAGTATTCTTGTGAAGTGTGATCCTCCTTCGGACTTTAAAGGCCCCAATAATGGATCCTACCATCTGGAAGTCAAAACTGGAGATGCCTTTGTTAAAAATGAGTCACAAATATTTTGCCACTTCTCTGTACTATATCTTCAATATTCAACAAAATACGAATTTAAGGTAAGATAATTTCTATCCTCAACTGTAGTACTAATGTACATTATACTGATTATTACACCATACTTCAATAATACTAAGACCAATTGATGCTCACATGAGCTTTAGAAACTCTTCGTCTAATGAAATCATACTTTAAAGTCTTAAGTGGTTGACTCCGAACTTCTTATCCCCAGCTCTAAGAACAATGGTTTCAAGCAAATATTTTGTTGGAGTGTTTTTCACCTTTAATGTAATTTACTCATAGCAAAATTATTGTGCCTGTGTCAAGAAGCACAACATTTTATACACAATAAATTAATTTAAATTTATGCACAATAGATTATTACTTTGCAAAATGTTTTATTTACCTTGACTTTTAATCTTTACTAACATGACTTTTTTTTTTCCAACGTTTATTTATTTTGGGGACTAACATGACTTTTTAAATTGCAAAATATTTTACAGGTGCACTGAGGTTAGAAAATAGTAGAAATAAATATTAGGAAATACCAGTAAACATGGAGAATTAAAAAAAAACTCATCTACAAGCTTACCATCTACTGATCATATTTTATGAGTGTGTTTCTGAAATGGAAAAACTCAGTCTTGGCCCTGGTTGTAGGGAAAAACCGTAGTTCCGTCTTTTCTTGTGTGTTCTTTTCTGTGAGTCTCCTGTACAGTTCATGTGCAGCGCCACCCTTCTGATGCTTCTGGTCGCCAATTTGTGTGGAGGTTTTCCTTCACATCAAGCAAGTCTTTGTGGCACCAGCTGGGTATCCTGCAATTTAATTCAAATCTGACACTATCTACCTGGAGATAGTGGCAGATTCCACAGGTTAGGGATTCAGTCCCACAAGACTGTTCCACCCCACTTCAGCTCTAACTGCCAGTAGTTGATCCCTAGGTTACTCTCAACTTCTGTCTGACTTGGCTATAAATCAGGGGTTCCTATGGCCCTCTCCTCAGGCTTAGTTGCTTGTTAGTGTGGCTCACAGAACTCTGGGAAACACTTATTTACGTTTACCAGTTTATTGAAATATGTGATAAAGGATACAGAGGAACAGTCAGATGAAGAGATACATAGGGTGATGTCTGAGAAGGTCCCAAGTACAGGAGCTTCTGTCCCCATCAAGTTGGGATACATCACCTTCATGATATGGATGTGTTCACCAACCTGATAGCCCCCAAGCCACCTTCTTTGGGGTATTTTAAGGAGGCTTCATCATGTAGGTGTGACCAATCATTAATCATTTTCAGCCCTTCTACCTTCTCAAGAGAATGGGGGACTGGGGTGAAAATTCCAAGCTTCTAATCATAGCTTTGGCTTTCTAATGACTAGTCCTCATCCAGGAGCCATCCAGGAGCCCACCCGGTCACCTGATTAGAATGAAAAACACTCCTATTACCAGGGAAATTATAAGGGTTTCAGGAGTTCTGTGCCAGGAACCGAGGGCAGAAACCAATATATATTTGCCATTATCTCACAACTTTCATAATATTATAATGTGCATTTACATATATTCATCATATATATTATCAACATTCTGAACACATAGTTTAGTAACCTACATTTTTCATATATCACTACAACATGAACTTTTTCCATGTTAAATATTTCACTACATTGCAATTTTTAATGGTTGCCTAAGATTCTATTATATGGCTTTTTAACATTCTACTAACTATACTTGTTTTCATCTGTTATAAACAACAATCAATTAGCACACTTACTGGTAAATAGCACAATTTTTGAATGTGTCTTTAATGATTTCTATTTAAATAAATTCCTGGAAATAAAGGTATTGGGTCAAAAGGAATTTACTTGTATTTTAAGAATTTTTGTGATAATTTTTTTTCCCTGTAAGTTACCAAATTACCCTTCCCATACAGTCTATTAAATAATTGCTTTGGAGAATCTCACCAACATTGGGCATGGCCTTCTTTTTCTTTGATGTTGAGTAGGTGAGATATGGTATTGACATCTCTTTTTGTTTGAATGGCTTTCTTTATTTTCTGTCGAAGGTAACTACAGTTTTTGTTGTTGCTGCTCCCTTGTCCAGTTTTATTTGGGGAAGTTTTTGGATATTAATGATATTAAACTCTTTGTCATATAAGTTGCAAGTTTTGTTTCCAGCTTGTAGTTTGCTTTTTAACTTTATTTATAACACTTTAAATCATACACAATTTTTCCTTTTATTTTTATTCAGTCAGATCTATCAGTTTTATTTCTGATTTAATGGAAATTTCAACAGTCAATAGTTGACTATTCAAAATAATGTTGACAATTGACCTTATACCCTTTATAACTTAAAGAAATGTTTATATGTACATATGTTTATATACAAAAACATATGTATTTATAAATATATAACCTTTCTTGTTTGTTTAATCAGACATAGGTTGGACTTTTTCCTGTGTTTTTATTGTACTATATTAGATGATGCCATGGTTGTGATGACATGATATGATTTGTTCATATGGTGAATTATAGTGATAGGTTTTGTAAGGATAAACCATGTCACGTTCCAAGAAAAAAAGTCTTGCTCTGTCACTGTGTATTATTCTTTGAAAGCATTATTGAATTCAAAGGCTTTTTTTAAGTCTTTATGAATAGACATTCATAAATGAAACCCTTCAATAAGTGGGTAGAGATGACGGGCACAGGCATTTGTATAGGTGTGGGCATGAATCATTCTTAGTATACTTTGCTATAAAAGTTGTGCTAACCTGATAAATAGCACATTTTCTTGTTTCTTTGCCTTTTTATAACCTTAAATAGTATAGGAATGATTTGTTCTCTGAAAATTTTTTTTAATCCTCTTAACACAGAGGAATCCTCTCAGAGCCATTTTTTTTTTCAATATTATTGTTCTTTTCAGACATTTTACACTTTGTGGATTTATATTTTTCCCATAATCCATATAAAAGTAATATTTTGTTATTACATATCATGTACATTATACTTCATCTCCCATTACTTTTCCAGCACCCATTAAGTTCCATTTATTTTCAGTTTCTCAAATGCACCTAGAATTTGCTCTCCATAGGTACTTTACCTTATGTTCTTCTCTCTTTCTAGAATTTTCTTCTCCCATTCATCAATATAAGTTATTCTGGAAAAATATAGGTAAACATATTAAAATACAACATTCAGGGGCGCCTGGGTGGCTCAGTTGGTTAAGCGTCCGACTTCAGTTCAGGTCACGATCTCACGGTCCGTGAGTTCGAGCCCCGCGTCGGGCTCTGGGCTGATGGCTCAGAGCCTGGAGCCTGCTTCCGATTCTGTGTCTCCCTCTCTCTCTGCCCGTTCCCCGTTCACGCTCTATCTCTCTCTGTCTCAAAAATAAATAAACGTTAAAAAAAATTTTAAAAATACAACATTCAAATTCAAAGTAGTAGATTATTACTTAGTTACTCATTCTTTTCCCCAGCCTTCAAAAGATTGTCTCTTGTTTTCTTCATTGCATGTACCATAATTCATTTTCATGTTTCTTTCTGTCTCCACTACAACATTTATGCCATCACGAGGGATCAATCATTTTAGCTTTATTCATCATTGTGATCTCTGGTTAACAGATTCATAAAGTAATTTTTATCATTGCTCCATTTATTACTTTTCTTTTTGTAGATTTATTTTTATGTTCTTCTGCTAATTTGGGATTGAAAGCATTTTTGGTCCATTTCTTTATTTTTTTATTATTTAAAAAAAACAACAAAAAAAGAAAAAATTAAACTATGAATTGTCCTTTGGTAAAATTTGACTGTATCCCATGCTTGTGTTATTATTAATTTTTCTTTTTTTTAATTTATTAAAAATTTTTTTTACATTTATTTATTTTTGAGAGACAGAGTGAGACAGAGTGAGAGTGGGGAAGAGGCAGAGAGAGAGGGAGACAGAGAATCTGAAGCAGGCTCCAGACTCTGAGCTGTCAGCACAGAGCCTGACGTGGGGCTTGAACCCACAAACTGTGAAATCATGACCTGAGCCAAAGTCGGATGCTTAACGGACTGAGCCACCCAGGAGCCCCTATTATTATTAATTTTTCAATGACTGACATAAAATTTAACAAGTGGATTTTTAGAGTAGAATGTTCTGATTATATTTCCCAAGAATTTATATTGCAGTTGGAAAGAATTTCTAATTTATCTGTTTTTTAAAGAGCTAGTGTTTCTAGCTTTTAAAAGATAATTCGCTTTTATAATTTCTACTATTTTTAAACATTTATTTATTTTTGAGAGTGAGAAAGAGAATGTGTGCAAGCAGGGGAGGGACAGAGAGAGGGGGACAGAGGATGCTAAGCTCTCAAAAGAGAGCCTGATGCGGGCTCGAACTCACAAACCACGAGATCATGACCTGAGCCAAAGTCAGACGCTTAACCAACTGAACCACCCAGAAGTCCTACAATTTCTATTTTTTGGAATTAATAGAGTATTTTTTACAGTTAAATGTATAATGAATATTTACAAATATTCTGTGAGTACTGAGGAAATTATATATCTTCCAAAGGGTAAAAACTTAGATATATATTGTAGATATATACTGTCCAAATGTATCATGTTTATCTTTTAATGATATTATTCAGATTTGTTTTTACCTTTTTTTTTTTTTTTTTTTTTTTTTTTTCCAAAGCCTGTTACTGCTCTGTTATTCTTTTCAGTTTCCCTTGTATAACTAAATTGTTTTGGCTTTATTTGTATTCAATATTATGAGACACAGGGAGTTTTGCTAGTTAGGTTAATACTGTAGATTTTACCCTGTATCACTTGGGGGTATCAATCCTTATAACTTTAACCCTTGTGAACTAAATATCAATTTATTATAAACACTGTGATTGTCATATTGTTTCTATTTGCTTTTACCAATTGTATGTTCATTTTGTGTGTAACTTTTATAAACAGTACATGGTAGTTTCCCTTTTAAATAAAATGTATAGATATTAACTTATCAATAGGGAATTTTAACTTTAAGCTTTGAAGAATTTGATGTGTTGGAGTTTATTCCTTCAGTTTCACTTACTCTTGCCGATTATACTATTATTATTGTTGTTGTTGTTGTTGCCAAATAAGCTAAGATTTCTTTATGGCTTTTTCACTGTTAAATATTTTCTTTGAAAAACTATTTGATAATAAGACATTGACATAATCTTGAGGTTTCTATTTTTAAATTAACTTTAACCTGTATATTTTAAATTAAAATAGACACCATTGTATGAGAAATAATGTATGTGTTGCATTATGATAGATAAATTCACGTTAGAAAACTATTTTGTTTTATTACTGGAATTCAGGTCTATTACAACAACGGACACCATAATGGAACTCCAGAATCTGTTTTTCATTCAACATCTTGTAAGTCATTTTGTGGCTCTTTATTATATTATATTAAAATATATATTAACATTACAAACCTTTATTATTTTACATTCATGCTTATATTTAATTATTAAATGTTTATATATTTCCTATCAAGGTAATATTTTATGTTTTCTGAAAAAAAGCATATGTAGGTGAATAAAACAATATTGTTTTATTTTTAATTTTTTATTTGAATGTAGTTGACACAAATACTACATTAGTTTCAGCTGTACAATGGAGTGATTTGACTTCTCTTCATTTATCCTATGCTCACCACAAGTGTTCCTACCATCTGTGACCATATAACACTATTACAATATTGTTGGCTATATTCTTTCTGCTGTGCCTTTTATTCCTGTGACTTACTCATCCCATAACTGGCAGCTTGTATCTCCCACTCCTCTTCACCCATTTTGCCCCCCCGCCCCACCTGTCTTCTTTCTGGTAACCATTAATCCGTCCCCTGTAAATTACAGTATTTTAAATTCAATTAAAAGATTCCATTATTAAAGGAGGTAGATTTCATAAAACAATTTGTAAGAGGATATATCTGTATAGACTTAAATTATGAGTATGTTTATGACATTTTTCATGACTGCTAACAAAACACGTTTGTTTTGTGTACCGTTTTGGAGACTTACCTATTTTGTCTTATTCTGTCCCTCAAAGTTGAGCTTGGTAGAGGCAGGCATTAGATACAAATCTGTCCTGATTTACCTAATTACAGCTAAGATAAAAATCGCTTAATAACAACATGGCTATTTAATTTTTTATCATTGCTATTTTAAATATTTTGATCAAAATAAAGTTGCAGATAGAAAAAAATCACTTAAACTTAAATGTTGTTATAACAATGACAATAACAGCTGTGTGTCACAACTCCCCACTCATTGTCCTGCTCACCAAGACAGCCACTTTTCACCATTTCTGTTTTCAGTTCTTCTTATGGTTATCTCTATAGGGGTAAAGAATATTAGCTGCTCCTCTTTCTAGAGTTAGTAACATTGCCCATGGATTTCATCCTATGGAGGGAGAAGGCAGTACACTGTTTTAAGTTTCTCAGCTTGTTCACCATCTGTATGTTTGTAAATTAAATTAAATGATATAAATTTCTGTGTTGTGTTATCAACTGTAGACAGTTTCTTTTACTTTTTTTTAATGTTTATTTTTGAGAGAGAGAGAGAGGGAGCGGGAGGGGCGGAGAGAGAGGGAGACACAGAATCTGAAGCAGGCTCCAGGCTTGAGCTATCAGGACAGAGCCCAATGCAGGGCTTGAACCCATGAACCATGAAATCATGACCGGAGCTGAAGTCAAGCGCTTAACTGATGGAGCCACCTGGGCGCCCCAACTCTAGACAGTTTCTGATGCTATCATTGCAATGTCTCAGTCTTACTCTCTTACACACACATGCATGTGTGCAAGCACTAATGCCTTATTTCCCAAAGTCTCTGAAAAGAGGAAAGATATAAAAGTTCATGTTCCAAACTGTTGTCCCAGGTCCCATGTAAAGTTTCCATTCTTCCTGCTCTGATTTATTAAATAAAAGCTTCTAATACTAAATGCCCACCAAATTCAACCAGATAGCTTTGATTTTATTTACATATAAATACTTTTCTTTTATAATTCCTTACAATAAAAACAACTCCATTGAATTGTTGTTGTTTTTTTTTTTTTCTGCATATGCAGATAACTTCTAGCTGCAGCACCTACTCTTGGGAGCAATAGACTCAACTGGACGTTTCACAGTCACTCACATTTTACTAGGCCAGATGTGATACCATTTCATTCAAGGAGACACAGAACAGAAAACACAGTGTGCCAGCAAGGGGGGGGGGGGGGTAGCGATAGTGGTCACAGTGCCCATGGAAGCCCTGGAACTGTTCTTTGACCCTCCCAGAGGCAAGTGAGATGTGAGAGAATTGGGTCACACGTGTGGGTGTGCTAGCTGCCCTTGCTTAGAAGCCCCCTGTTAAGAAAGGAATCGGTATCTCTTAGAATAGCTCCTTGGGAGTAGCTTCCAGACATGCCACAGGGATTGTGCCCAAAAATGAGATGTGCCCTGGGTTACTCCACTCAGGGAGACCGAAAACTGGGGCTTGCACCAGGACAGTGTGGTTCACACATAAATCTTCCTGTCCAGGTACAGTTGAGCAACCAGGGATCATTTTCGTCATTGGCAACATTGCCTAGAAAGGCAGCTAACATTCCGCTTTTATCAGATTTCCATGTCCGTGGAGCTAGAGTGTTATCCCACGGTCCCTTCCTCACCAAGCAGAAAAAGTTTTATTGACTCTTCACTCACGATGGCATCTTTGTAATAGATAAATGACAGAATGAGGTTTTAATAGTAATGTCTTCACCAGGAGAAGTCATGGGTTGTGACTTGCCAAGAATGCACCTCCTAGAAAAGTTTTGCTGAGCTTCCCTGGCATAAGACTTCATTAGCCACACGTTGACAATGTTCCCGAAAGAGCTCCTGGGGCCCTTTCTTCCTGTACTGATTTGGACTACCTAGGTGTACAGCTTAGCTACTGTGGTAAAATTTTCCTTCATTAGTTTCCTGTTTCAGAATTGCTACATCTGAATCTCATTTGTTAAAAAAAAAAATTACTGGTATATATTCTCTAGTGTAAGAAGAAAATATTCTAATTCTGGCACACATAAAAATGCAATGCTTTAATTCTACTCTGGCACTTGATCCATAGGTTGACCTGGCATAGAATTCTGAGTTTAAAAACTTAGTATTGAAAAAGTATTTCTGTTTCGTTCTCCTGCATCCAGTATTACTTTCTAATGCCATCCTGTTTCTCGTTCTTTTTCTGTATTCTCATATCTTTTTTCTCTTTGGGACTTTTAGGCTTTCCTCTTTATTCTTTGTCTTGCACGAGTCTTTTCTCGTATCCTATTGGCTTTTGTGACCTGGAAACATATCTCTGAGAAATTTTTTTTCATTCCACTTTTTTTTTTTTTTCCTGTAGCCCTTCTGGAGCTCCTGTTAGTCCCATTTTGGAACTCCTAAGTCAAATTATTATTTTGGAACCCCCCTTTATTGTTGAGGATTTCTTTGACAATTCGGTTCTTATCAGCAGTTTGATCAAAGTTACAGGGAGACCATAGAAAAGGTTGATTAGAAGTTCTATGGCCCTAATCAAAAAGAATGAAATCTTGCCATTTGCAACTATGTGGATGGACCTGGAGGGTATTATGCTAAGTGAAATTGGTCAGTCAGAGAAACACAAAAATCATATGGCTTCACTCATGTGAGGACTTTAAGAGACAAAACAGATGAACATAAGGGAAGGGAAACAAAAATCATATAAAAACAAGGAGAGGGACAAAAACATAAGAGACTCTTAAGTATGGAGAACAAACACTGGAGAGGTTGTGGGAGGGGGGATGGGCTAAATGGGTAAGGTTCATTAAGGAATCTACCCGTGAAATCATTGTTGCACTATATGCTAACTAACTTGAATGTAAATTTAAAAAATAAATAATAAATTATTTAAAAAAGTTCTGTAGCCCTTACAGGGACTGTTGACTGAGGAGATTTCTTGTAATATTTATGATTTGTTTTCTCCAGTGCCATTTATTATCTCTGGAAATTAATCAATGTAATACTTCTTGTAGTAGTGTTACAGTGTAGGGGAATGGTTCTCCCCATAGTAGGGCAGAGGGACAGGTGTTCAACCATTTCATAGGCAGACATTGACTTTGCCCTCCTAATCTCAGTCCTGGGCCACATCCCTGCTCTGTTCTGAGCCGATTTTACCTTGAGTCTCTTAACCTTTTCCTTTCAATTTTCTCAGAGAATAAACTTCTGTCTCCTCCCTGGAGTGTCTTTTCAAAGGGTGTTTGGTTTCTCTGTAAATAGACATTCAACTGTACCATTTTTGGTCCTATGATTCATTTCCACTGTCTATGTGCCTCCAAATTTGAGACTCAGGCATTCTGGGTAACTGGTATGGATCTTATGCACTGTGCTATTTTGGTGCTGGCTTTCTCTCCTTTGTTTTCTACCTTCCAAAACTTGCTGAAATCTCTCTAACTCTAATTTCCCTTCTCCCATTCTTTCTGGCATTATGGATCTATGCCACTGTCAGGTCTTTAATATTAGCAGAATTCCTGGAAAGAAGGGAGAGAGACGTGTTCTTAGGTCATGATATATATCTGAAGTCTTGGTTGTTTTATCATTAATAAGTTTATCAAGGCAAGTCTGAAGCTACTTAATGTTTCTGTAGAATGGACCCTAATTAATTGCTGTGGAATGAAACGCTTACTATAGTCATTTGGGGCAGTTTCTTGCAAAATCTCAGTTCAAGATGTCCTATTTTTCTAGTAACATGCTTTCATTTTAGTAATTTCCTTGAGGTGGATGAGTTTAGATGATTGTTCCTCTGATGAGGTTTTTATCCACAAATTCTGGAAACAATCATGTCGATCAATATATATACCAGTAATCACAGGTTTATTGATAATTTTAGTGAAAAGAATTTGAGAAAAACACGTTGGGTCATTTTGGGAGTCTATTGCAATAAGAACTTCTCTAAAATATTCAATACAACCCATGTATCCTCACAAGATCCTTTTAAATAAAATAAAATCATTCCCATTTTATAGACGAGGAAATTTTAACTTAGATAATTCAATCAATTTATTTTTTGTTTCCAGTAAAGAAGTGGTGGAGCCAGAATTCAAACTCAGGTCCAACATCTGCCAGTCTCTATTTGAAATTAATTTATTCTTACTATTAAGAATTTCCAGTTATAGACATTTTGAACATGAGACACACGGTCTCTGGCAGCTATCTGTTTAGCTGGGTCATTTCCATCTTTCAGGTTATAGAAAGTCTCATGCTCAAGGCCACTCCTGAACGTGTAGAAAATAGGTTCCCCTTACTTTTTTTCCACCTACTCACTCTTTCATAAATCTAAGGAAAATACATTATTATTTTATTTGTTGGTTTACCTGTTTAGCATTTGTTTCCCCCCAAAAGAATGAAAATTTCTTTAGAACTGGTAACTTCTCACGCCTTATATTCTGCTGTATCCTTAGAGACTATCCCAGTGTAGCACTTCTCAGTAAGTATGGGGTGAATGAGGGGTACCAATGAATTAATGTAACGACAGATGCTTTAACAGATAAACCTCCAAATCCCAGTGACTTAACAGAATTGAAATTTATTTCTTACCGTATACCAATTGGTAGGTGTTTGTGTGCGTGTAGGTGGTGGGGTTCTGTTCTACATATTCATTCAAAACTCTAGGCTGACATAGGGTTTCCATTTTTCATATATAGCTTCTAATTTTGCTATGGTTGCCAACATCCATCCGGCAACCCGGAGAAGAGAGTGTGTAACATCTTTCCAGAGGGTGTAAGCGCCAGGCCTGGAACTAACATATCTCACTTCTACCTTTATCTCAGTCACATGGCAACACTGAACAGCAAGTAAAGCTGATTCACAAGGAAAAGAAAACAGGTGGATTCAGCATTAGCCAATCTCTGCCACAAGAAAGAAAGGAGGACTGATTAAATACCCAGCATACCCAGTCTTCTCAGTCTTACCAAACTGCTTCAAATGTATTATTCCTGTATTGTTTTAAAAACATGATTTAGGGGGCACCTGCGTGGCTCAGTCAGTTGGGTGTCTGGCTTCGGCTCAGGTCATGATCTCACAGTTTGTGAGTTCAAGCCCCCCGTTGATCTCTGTGCTGACAGCTCAGAGCCTGGAGCCTGCTTCAGATTCTGTGTCTCCCTCTCTCTCTCTGCCCTCCCATGCTCGTGCTCTTTCTCTGTCTCTCAAAAATAAATAAACTTTAAAAAGTTAAAAAAAAAAAAAACCATGATTTAGTATGATTGAATTTCAATTTCCTCATCTAAAATAGTAAGAACATCATTTCCTTTCCTATCTCCATTAGCCAGAGCAAACCATAGTAGCAATATATAACACTGGTGCACCACTCCACATCCCTTTGGTGTCCTCCAATCCCTCCATATACAATGTAAACTCATAATCAATCATTATGATCACCCTTGAAATTATTCTTGAATCCCTTGATCCCATCAATCGCCCAATTCCCACATCCAACAGCTTTCTTTTCTCTCTCCTGCATCATTATTTCCCTTCTGTGCTAGATAAGTCTAATCAGTATGCAATTGTTGAAAACAAACAGCAACCACAATATTTCTTTTGACACTATTTCCTCTTCAGCCACCCCTTTATTTCATCTCCATACCCCCTACCTCCCAACAGTAAAGCTTCTATGAAGAGATTTGTATTTTGACTGTCTCTGGTTCTTTTCCTATTTTTCTCTTGGGCCTGCCTATTCCACTGAATCGCTCTTGTCAAATCCAACAATGCCCTCTCTGATAGTACATCAAAAGGTCAATTCTCAGTCCTCATTGAATTTGACTTATCAACACCATTCGTCATAGTTGATTACCCCCTCCTGCTTGAAAGACTTCCTTTTGAATTGGCTTCCTGGACACGCTTTTAATTTTCTTCTATTTCACTTGTTAGTCTCCTTTCCTGGTTCTATCTTTCCTCTCCAAACTTTTAATATTAGAGTGTCCGAGGACTTAGTCTTGGGATTTCTTTCCTTTCTATCTAATTTTAATTTCCTGGTGAATTATTCAATCTTCTACCTTTAACAGCTCCATGATGAAAACTTTCAAATTTATGTCCAGTCCCAGACCCTTTCTTGCAAGATTTATGGTACAAGAGTTCCACATTTGCATGTTCAGGCTTCCTATTTGGCATCTCCACTTGGGTGTCTAATTATTTTTCAAATTCACAAATCCAAAAGTGAGCTCCTGCTCTCCACTGCACCCACAGTCTTCCTGATGTCCATTAACTATAACTTCATGTAACTATTTCTACTCACTCTAGAGCCACCAACCTGGTATGAAACCACTGTCATATTTTGCCTGGATTATGGCATTCTCAACGAGTAGTCCTAAAAACCTGTAAAATGTGTAGTCAGAATATCTCACTTCTCTGCTCAAAATCCTGCAGGTGCTGCCTGTGTAACAAAAAAGCTAATGTATCATTAAAATGGCTTCCAGGCCCTACAAATCTGGCCCTTGCCTCTCCCCTCTCTGCGTCATACTCTTACGTGGCAGCTCCTGTTGCTACCCTTCACTGGCTCCACTCCAGCCACATTGGCATTCTGGCTATTCCTTGGACATGCCGGCCATGCTCCTACCTGTGGGTTCTTGCCCTACCCTTCCTTTGCCTCAAACAGGCAGCCTCCAGATATCTACTTAGCTAACTCTCTCACCTGCTCACAGTCTTTATCATCTTCTAACCTACGTTACCATCTGCTTATTTATTATGTGCACTGTTAAGTGTCTGTCGTGTCAGTAGGTCATTTCCATGAGGACACGGATCCTTGTTTTGTTCTCCGAGATATCTTATGTAACTAAATCAGTGTTTGGCATACAGTAGGACTCAAAACTTTTTTTTTTTTTTCCGAATAGTGAGTAATTAGTCCTTGTATGTCCAAGACACCGTGCCAAGTGTTTATTGTAAATCAATTCATTTAACCTCATTTTTGGAATTAGGGAATGGAGTCACAAACATAATGAAGATTCTAGCCAAGGCCCCACCTAGGAAGTGGTACAGCTAGGGTTGGAACCGAAGCAGTCTAGCTCCCAAGTGAGGCCCTGGTTTCACTGCATTCCTCTCTGCCCTTTCATTGTATATGAAAAGTAGGAGATACTCCCCCAGGGCAAAGGATGTTTCCAGTACACTGTCTTTTCTCTGTCCTTCTCCAGAAGAGGGTATGATTTCCCATTAAACCCTGGTGAACATTTACATCAGGATAAGTAATCCTAACAGTAGAACGAAACAATTTTGTCCCTCGGTTAATTGATTTTGTACCTCAATGGTAAGAAAGTTTATCTGTGTGGGACAGAAGCCTTTGTGATCTTTGTGGGAGGCTATCTACTTATGCACATAAAGTTACACCAAATGAGTTTCTCTCTGAGATCTATAATAACTAGACTCCCTCTCTAATCCCTGCCAAATGGAGTGACTGAAAGAAAGAGAATTAAGTCTAAATGATAGTATCGCATAAAAGAATAGTATTTTGTGGAAGGAGAGTTTCTCTTCTGTATTCTAATTGCTTTCTTAAAATATAAGATGTTTTTATTTGTTTTGAATAATATGGGCAAAATACACAATATCAGGAATTTATTGTGTTTGGTCTCATTCTAAAAAATTTATTTGTTTGAAAGCCTCAAAAGACATGGACATAATAAAAATGAAAGTATGTTAAAGGTGATTATTCAAAGAGCCCAGCAATGTATTTGACATAATAATCTCCTTTCATGTGTTATGTTTCATTTCTAGATAATTCTAAAGCATTGATTGCATTTCTGGTATTTCTGATCATTGTGACATTCTTAGCCCTGCTTTTCGTTCTCTACAAAATCTATGACCTGCGCAACAGAAGATCCAGGTAAGAGTTGATTTCAAAATTAAAAATAGTAGTAATAATGATGAAAACATCTATCTATGAGGCAAGTTTAGAGCCAGTTACGTATAGAATGAGAATTAGCATTAAGTCCAGTTCATCAGTGAACTTTTGATCAAAAACTTCGCAACGTCTTGTTGGTTTGTAGTAAATAGTAACATTTTCTACAGTAATACTGTTATAGATTTTTTTTAATGATAACAAAGGAAGAGAATAGGTATTTATCCTTTTAGTTAAAAGTGGGTCAAAGGGATGTAGAAATGATAGAGGCAAAAAGAAAAGAAAGCAGTATCTACGGAAGTATATGTATTTCTTTGGGCCAGGAACAACCATATTTTATGAAAAACAAGAATTTTAAAATAAAATAATTTAGCCACTTACCTGAGTTTAGCAGACAACCCTTGGCTGGTTTCTTCCTTCCTTCCTTTTTCTTTTTTTCCCTCCATTCTCCTCCATCTCCTCTCCTCCCCTTCATTCTTTCCTCTTTGCCCTGCTAAGCTCCTTCCTTCCTCATCCCCTCCCCCCTCCCTTCCCTTCCTTCTCCTGTCTCCCCTTCTCTTGTCCTTTCTTCTTTCTTTATCCTTCCTGCTTCCATTCCCTCCTTCCTTCAATACATTCATTAAATGTAAATCGAATCCCAGTTGAATTCTATGTTTCTTAAAAAATATAGACACTTACGTTTCTTATTTTCACAGTGATATAGATGAACAGCAGGAACTTGTTGAAAGGGGTAAGTATACCAGTTTTTTACTGATGAATATCCTCCTCATATTTGAATCTATTCGTTTTAAATAAGAATTCAACATTTTTTATCTAACCTAGACTTCCTCTGTTGATACAATGAAGAAACTTAGGTTCACTTATCTATTTATTCAGTTAGTAAGTACTATGAATTTCCAAGTATATGGCAAGTATTGTGCCGGAGCTGAATACATGGTAGTGATAGGCCACAGACCCTGCTCTTAAAGGGTTGAAAATCTAATAGAGGAAGGCAGAAGTATCAGCAAATATGACAACAACTTGGTAAATGCCATAGTGGTTGAATGTGTATGCTTCTAGAGAAAGATAGAAGATAGAAGCTTGTGAGTGGGAAAGGCAGGCATCTGAGTCACCTAAGATTGTGGGGAGACATTAGACCAACAAATAAGGGAGTACAAGAGTAGACAAAAAGTCACATAGAGATAGAGGTAGTAAGTGTGCTCAAGTCTCTCTGCAAAGGTTAAAAGGTGGGATGGTGGCTGTTTCGACATAAGGCCCATTTTAAGGACATGACAAAAAAATGCAATTTGACTTAAGAGAGGAAAAGAAATTCCATTTCCTCCCCTTCTTTTTCAACCTGTACATTATTTCTTTCATTTTTTAAATGTGATTTTGAGGGGCGCCTGGGTGGTGCAGTCGGTTAAGCGTCCGACTTCAGCCAGGTCACGATCTCGCGGTCCGTGAGTTCGAGCCCCGCGTCGGGCTCTGGGCTGATGGCTCAGAGCCTGGAGCCTGTTTCCGATTCTGTGTCTCCCTCTCTCTCTGCCCCTCCCCCGTTCATGCTCTGTCTCTCTCTGTCCCAAAAAAAATAAATAAACGTTAAAAAAAAATAAAAATAAATGTGATTTTGATCCATTAAAGGGGATAGAGGTAAAGATTGAAACTGTTTACAATAAATAAAATGATCTGTCTCCTCATAGTCAACACAGGAGAAATTTAAGAACTCTTCTGTCTTGTTTTAACTTATCTCTGAAAGCTTTCCCTCTGCAAGAGCAGGTACCAAATCAGTAAACAAAAGCTTTAGTGTTGGTTCTTTGGAACCTCTCATTGACTTTATTTTCCATTGCAAAATCTATCACTACTGGATATTGCATTATATATTTTATTTGTTAACTATCCTCCCGTGACTAGAATGTAAGCTAGGGATGCGAAAGTAAGGAGATTTTTTTTCCCCCTCATTTCACTGCTCTATCCTGAGTATCTATGTGAGTATATGGAATTCAATAAATGTCAATGAATGCATAGATGAATGAGATGAAATGTTCTGAGGATTAGTTTTGAAAGCCTGAGGGAAGAATGAAGAGCACAAGAGTAACAAGTACCTGAGCAGAGAAGGGGAGACAATTTCAAGGTGTCAGGGCAGACTAGGGAGGGTCAAAGAAGCATTTTATCTCCAAGTTCACTCTAATTGTCCATTGGCATGCATTAGAACTTACCCAAACCCTCTAAAACCTCAAAGGTGGCCTTGAGTTCAGAACGAATGAATACCAGAGGTTCCCAACAACCCAAAGAAGTGACCGTACATGGCCAATTTGATAGCTGTATTTGGACGGAAATTTCTGCAGACACTAAGACAAATGTGCAACCTTAATGGACATTGTCTTGCATCATAGGAGAAACACAGTTTTTACATGAGTGGCAGTTTATATTCGCTTAATTTTCTGAAACTTTGCTTTTCAGGAGCCATATACAATTGTAGCTCTTTATGGTTAATATGTATTCTTACTCCTTAGTAAGTTATTAAGCAAGCATACCATATAAAGTGCTTCGTACTCTGGAGGCCTAACACATGAACACAACTTGTTCATAGCCTAGTATAAAGGGATTAGCAAATTAAGCTGAGTCTTGAGTATAAGGATATTAATCATATTCTCTTACTTGTCTGTTTACAAAATTTCATAACTTAAAAATGGAAATAATGAAAAGAAAAAATAATAACTATGATATAGAAAAATAAGTATGGTAATTGTTATATTATGTTATGTGTTCAAACCTTAGTTTTAGTCAATGAAACACTAATAAGAGTGTCAGATTTTTTTTTTTAACAAGCAAAGTTGCATGCTTTTATTTTATTTCGGAAGACTAATTTGCAGCAGTTCAAAAGACAAATCAGTATGGGGAAAAACTAGAGACAAGGAGAGGACTTGGGAAGATGTACTTACATGGATGAGGAGGCCTGCCTGCACCTGACCACTGGCAGAGGGATGGAAAGTACCCAGTCATCTACTGGATATGGAGAGGGAGGGAGAAATCTATAACTGTGGAAGTTTCTGTCTTAAATTAATTTGTGAATGGTGATCTTGTTTACTGAGATTTGAAATACTGGAGTAAAGGAAAAATGATTTTTATTTTGGGCATTTTGACTTTGATGTACATGTGGGATAACCCTTTGGAAAATCTGGGAGATTGAAAGGTTAAAATAAAGCCCAGAGGAGGGCTGGAGTACCACATTTAGAAGTCATAGGTGAATCTTTGTATGTGACTGAGACTTTCCAGGTAGTATGTGTGAGAAGGGAAGAAGCAAAGGATTAGTCCAAGCAATGAATTTAATGAAATTTGTATGAACACTTGAGAGATGGACATAACCCTAGTCATGAATCCTTAATATGTTTAAAGATGATGAAAAGCAACTGATGAGTGTGGAGCCAATCCATGCAGATATTTTGTTGGAAACTTATAAGAGGAAGATTGCTGATGAAGGAAGACTGTTTCTGGCTGAATTTCAGGTGTGTG